GTTAGTAGGAACGCTCATGGTGGTCTAGTCAAGATTAAAGCATGGGCTGAGATGCACCTTAGCACCACGAGTACCAAAGGTGATTAGTTCATCTTATTTCACTTAGGTAAATGGACAAAAGAAAGATTTCTACATATACGTTAGCACAGGTGTCATGAGAAAGGAATGACTTAGGTTCCCTGTAACTTTACGTCAAGAGCATGGGTTGGTTTTGTTTTTTTATTCTTAATAATAATTGGGTACCATATGTCCCTTGGGTTGTGAAACAGATTATTGATAACTGTCACTGGTCCTATGGGTGTCCAGGCTCTTGCTAGCATTGATGCTTTGCCTGATGAAAGCTGTGTAAATCCTAAATCTGGACTCATGGCACACGGTTTCAGAATACCAGGAGACAGCAACATAAATTGAAGAGCTCTGGGATTTGATGTCACATAAAGGAGGGGCCCCTATCTAAGGACAGAAGGAAGTGGGATACCAGAGTGGCAACTAACATCAGCAGCCTAATCCTAGGGTGAACATCAAGGAGGCTGACATGTGCTATATATTGGTGAGCAGAGAAACACCAAGAATGTACAAAACTCTGTGGTAATTTTTCCAAGGCTAGGAGATGAGGTATACTGAGAGAGACAAATAGACAAACAGCAAGCAAGGACCAAAGAGTCCAGTCCCCTGCTTTCCTCGCTCTTTGTCTATGTGTGGCTGCAAACTCATGGAATATCTGAAAAATATCTAGTTTCTCCATTTCTCCTTTCCTGCTGTACCAGCACGTAGGATATTTAGAAGGACCTGGAGGTTATAGTAATGCTTTCTTCCTTCTTTCTTTGCATATTTTAACACCTCTGTAAGCTGTGGATTTGGAGATGAAAGGTGGAAAGGTGGCCAGAGATTAGAAATCTTCTTTGGGTCCTGGCTTCATGCAATTTCCAGATTCCTGGTACCCAAGATCTTACCTCTGACCTACCTGCATCTTAAACTTTTCTTATCTCCTACTCTCTCAGTGAGGTGACAGCAAGAAAAATCTTACTTACATGAACAGTCTGCCTCGTAAGGGATGTCCTAGAAACCTGAAGGTGTGGCAGACAAGCAGATGGAGATAGTGAGAGGATCATCCCTCTAGGACTGTAAAGATGCTGCGGGCTGTGCAGATAGAGACATAAAAGTTTAACAGTGTGTTTCTTAAAGGCAAAGCTATTTACACTGGCTTCAATGAGTATGTGAGGATGATCTGAATGAAAAAATAGACATGTTTGACTATGTACATACTTTTGTACATCCATATAGTTATGTTTTCACCAGCCTTAGTGATTTCAAGTCCCTCTGCCATTGAAGGATCTATGATTTCCACAGTAAATGAAACAGAGGACATTTTCTCTGCATAAAGTGAGAACACATTGTATGCACGCTTAAGGTATCACGAATATGTCGATATTAAGTACTAGTATAAGTTTACGCATAAATGTGTAAAGGGAGGGGGTGTGTGATGGAATACTGTCTTCACAAGGCCTGATTCCTGGCTGGGAACTTTAGATTCTGTACGATCGCTAGTAATAATAGTCACTTTATTCCAGTCACAGCACTACAACCAAGATGTCATATACACGTGGCAGATAGATAAGACAGACAGATTTCCTGTTTTCCACTGACATGCTTTTGAATACATCTTGGCAGGGCTGAGTCACCCTTTCACCTTTCCCGGGAAGATAAATTCCTTTCCAGGAGCTTCACTGTATACAGGTTATGTTTGAGCAGCTTCCTTAATTAAGGTTTGTCTGCTGCATGAATAATCCACAGATGAAGAGCCCTTGTCTTTTTTTTGTCTGAACAGAAGTTTCCCTCTGAACAATCTGTTTCTCACCCAAGCCTGTGTTATACAACAAGGCACACATACTATATGGGTACCATGTCCTACCCCAGAAGTAGCTGCAGGCCAATAGCCTGAAAATAATTCATTTGAAATGTCTGGGATGCTTCAGTGGGGAAGGACTGAATAGAAATGGGATTCCTGAGGGCCACAGTTGGCACAGACAAACTATTAGTACATTTCTTTCATCTATAACCTTAAACTGCACCTTTGCCCCAGCCTCATGCTTCATATCTGTTATATCTGAAATTATGCTGAAAGCACCCTGTTGGAAATACATTTTGCAGTTGCAAACCTTGTGATCTGGCAAGGACTCAAACTGATGTCATCCCAACTGGGATAAGAGGACAATGATGTCACCGGAATGGCAAAGGAGCCTTTTAGCTCTGTAATGCGATAGGTGCGGGCAAGAGGTTTCAGTCTGACCTGCCTGGAGAGAAAGAGCGCTCTCCCATTCCCTGCCAGGCCCAGGGCTGGCTGGCAGTCACACCTCTCTGCAAGTTCATCTGTCAGAACAGCAGGAGCCTGCGGCTCTCTATGCCCTGGCCTCCTGCTAGCGGTGAGATAGCCCGGTAACAGGGTGACTCCTCTGGAGTCAGAGGCATGCATGCAGCCGGCCACACCTCATTAGAGCTGTCCTAGTTGGCGCAGGAGGGACATGGAGTGTGAGAGCAGCAAGGCAAGTGAGATCTCCCTTCAGTCAGTGGTCTTCATCTTTGTGCAGGGCTTAGTTTTGTTATGTGCACTAACGGTTTTGTGGGAATCAGGCATATTGGCCTGGACCTTTAGGGTCCTGTAGTTATGTCTAAATTGCGTTTCCAGTCTTCCAATCTTGCTGTCATTTGAAATTCGCCACAGTCCTTAGGAGGAGAGAGTCAAGCATTGCATAGTGCTGTAAAGGAGTACCTAGTCTGTCTTCTCGTTGCTGTGGCTACAATGTAGTGCAGACACACTCAAGCTCTCCTTAAACCAGCTAGTCCAGGTATTAGTAGTTATGTTGCCACAGCAACACAGGACTTACTGCAAGCTGCAAAACTTGCCTAAGGAGCAGGATGGATGAGCCCGTGCAGAGCTCTGCACTGCCCTAGCTGGATAAAAGCTGTTCTGTGAACATGCTAGTTTAGTAGTTCCGATTTTTTTCCATCCCCTTGTGCTGAAATAGGCTGAAAAGCTCACTCCAGATGCCGAATAACACAGCGCAGAGTTAGCCATGCCAGCAAAAGACATACAGGAATGGTTACAGCATGCTAATGTCTCACCATCTTTGCGCATAACCATCACCTGCTCTCTGACAAGCTGAGATGAACATGAAAGTCCACTTTCTGTGCCACGCCACGTCACTTAATGCACTGCGGGAAGTACAGACGTAAATGCTCATCTGTGCCGCTGTGATAGATACAACTGTTTTGCCCTTGGGCATGGAGAGGGGTACAAAAACTCCTTGTGCTGAATTCTGTGTATCAGTTGCATATTCATTTGCCGGCTTTTTCGCTCTACCCCTACATAAGCATCCTGGTGCCTAGTCTCACTCCTAGACTTATTTCCTTTCCTATACAGACCCATCCTCACCGCTGGACAGCTGTGTGGAGTGGCATTTTTCCTTGATGATTTGGGGCTGCCCGTTTCTTGGCCAGCAAACCCAAGTAAACTCGCCCTTGTTTACCTGCGAATGATCCAAGGTGGGCACCGGTGCTAGGGTGGCTGATGCTATGCCCTCACTGCACTCTTTTTTGAACGTGGTGCTGACAATGCCAAGGTCGCAGTTTCGATTCCTATTCGGTCCCCGTGTGTTGCCTGATCTAGTCGAGAGGTGACGTCCCTGGTGACAGGGAGGCTGGATTAAAATGATCTCTAAGGTCCCTTCCAGCCTAGGCCATTCTATGATTCTATGATTTATAGGCTGTCCCCTCTCTGTTGCTCTTCTAGTCCTGGGCATTTCCTAGATGGCACTTCTCAACTGCAGTGGCCTAAGGAGTGGTTTCTTCTTCCCAGCCAGGAATAAATGCTTGCTATCTTTCTCAGTCAGCTCATTTTCTGGTTTTTTTTTTTTGTGACCAGTGTTGGAAACCAGATGCAGACAGCAAAGAGGCCAATGGCTCTGCTTCCGAGTAGCTCTTCTGAATCCTTCCCAACAGGAATATTAATAGAACCGTGTCCTTTCATCAATATGCAGCTGAGTTGTTTCTTGCCCAAGGGCTGCTAAATTATTGGGGTGAAGCGTGGTATGTCCTGTAGATTCAGTGGGGATTTACAAGCTGAGCATTATCTGTCTGACCAGCAGACCAGCATGAGGCACAAGCTCTGCTTTGGTCTCACTGAAGACTCCAATGCATGGCTAAAGTCTAAAAAACATGGGGATTGCTTGCTCTTTGTTGTGAGACTGAATTCCCCACAATATTCAGAGAAATAAACATAATCTGCTGAAATTGGAAAGACTGATATCTATCTGCCCATTATACTTCCACTGAAGCCGTGAGTGGGGAGCAGAGGCAAAGTGCTTGTTGTGCTTGCAGTGCAGGGCATTTGTGAGGAGTATATCCTGTGAATATTTGTGTATGTCTGACAGCATGCATCTGTGGTGGAGCAGGCAGCATTGCTATTCTCCGCTGGCAATCATGAGCCGAAAAGCTATAAAGGATGAAACACTTGGTGTTATTAGAGTCACACACCTGTGAAACAAGGTGTCATTAAAAAAGAACAAAGACTTGAAGGCAAAGGTGGATTTGGAAGGACTGTGAAAATCCCCCTCGGGAGAATGTTTTGAAAATGAGTAGGGGAAAAAAACCTGATGTATTTCAAAATGGATGAGCAAATAAATCATGGGAATAGAGACACCCAGCTGGTGCAAACCTCTCCACACAGCCAAGGTGCTCTCAGCATTGCTGACAGACATGTTGAGGTGTTTTAAATTCCTTTTACAAACCCTCCATGTGTCTGTCCAGCCCTCAGATGAAATTAGAGCCACCTGGCTTCAAACCTGTACCAAATTGCAAGGCTGCTTTGAAACTTGTCACTGGTTAGCAGGAGGGCAAGGTGGGACATTCCCCAAAAAAACAGAGCCTGGGCTACACCTGGAAAAATCTTAAATTTTCTCCCTGTTTTTTCCTCTGCCCTCCTTCCTTGTTCTTCTCTAAAGGTTGAAAAAAATGAGGACGGGGACCAAAAGATTGAGCAAGATGGCATCAAACCAGAAGATAAAGCTCATAAGGCAGCCACCAAAATTCAGGCCAGCTTCCGCGGACACATAACGAGGAAAAAGCTCAAGGGGGAGAAGAAGGGAGATGCCCCAGCATCTGAGACCGATGCTGCCGACAAGAAGGAGGAAGGTCCTGCTGGCGGAGCGGCCGAGAACAAAGAGAGCGAGGCTCCCACTGCCACAGAAGCAGACAGTGCCCAGCTGGAGGAAGGCAGCAAAGACAGCAGTGCGCCGGCGGAGGAGAAAAAAGGGGATGGAGCCACTGACACGGGCTCAGAGCAGCCAGCCCCACAGGCTGCCACTCCTGCTGCCTCCTTGGAGGAAAAACCCGCTGCTGCCGCTGCCGCTGAAACGGAAAGTGCCACTAAAGCTTCCACTGACAACTCGCCGTCCTTGAAGGCTGAAGAAGCCCAAGACAAAGAGGAGCCTAAACAAGCCGACGTGCCTGCTGCTGACACCACTGCCACCACCACCCCTGCCGCAGAGGATGCTACTGCCAAGGCAACAGCGCAACCCCAAATGGAGACAGTGGAGAGCAGCCAAACCGAAGAGAAGACAGGTGAGTGAGTGCCTTGCTAGGGAATGGGCCTCTCCGGAAATTACTGTCTCCCTTGGTCTCTTCTGTGAAGCTGGCCAGCAAGAGCTGGTGCGGGGTTTAGACTGAGGGTTAACAAGGGAATCCTCTTGCTGGGTTTTAGGGGTGTGGGGAGTCACATGTTCTTGCTTAACACCCTCCTCCCTGCTTCCCAGTAGCTTTTGGAAATAATGCACCTCCTCTTGAGGCTCCTATTCCTCTAGGTGGTGCCATCCAGCCCTTTTTTCCATGGTGGCAGGAGAGTGTCAGCCAGCTGGGAGGCTTGGAGGAGCTTGGGAGAGCTCTGTGAGCTCTGTATACGCTAAAGAGGGTGCTGAACCTTCTCAGGCATAGTAGCACAGGCAGCTCCAGTGCTGAGACCAGCTCACTGGAGGCTGCCAAGTTGAGCTGAAAAATCTCACAAGACAAAAGAGCTGTCATACTGCTGGAGGCTATTTAGCCATGCTGGTGGGATGGTCAAGAAGGAGCCAAAAGAGTCTTCTTTCCATCTGCTCGTAAATGGATGAGATTCAAGCACACTGGTACAATCAAATTCTACTCAGGAACATCTTGTTATCAGCATTACTTATAGTTTTTTGTGTTTATAAATACGTCAAGGGGGAGTGTTGGGAGGATGGAACCAGGCTTTTTCTGGTGACACCCAATGACAGGACAAGGGGTAATGGCTACAAGCTGGAACACAGAAGGTTCCACAAAAAATATTAGAAAAAAACTTTTCACTGTTAGGGTGACAGAGCAATGGAACAAGCTGCCCAGGGAGGTTGTGGACTCTCCTTCTCTGGAGACATTCAAAACCTGCCTGGACGCGTTCCTGTATGACCTACTGTAGGTGATCCTGCTCTGGCAGGGGGGCTGGACTAGATGATCTTCTGGGGTCCCTTCCAGCCCCTGTCATTCTGTGATTCTGTGATTCTGTGATTCTTTAATTTTATCCACGCCAGTACTTCTAGCCTCTGTACTTGGAGTAGCCCATGACAGCCATACTTGCATGAAGCTTTTAGATGTGTCAGCTGGATCAGACCCACATGGTAACAGGATCAGGTAGGGGAAGGGAAGATTAAAGGCCCTGACAACTCAGTGAGGGAGGACAGAAGAGAGGCACTCTAGGAGGTGTTTTCAATTCTTTGCTCCCGATCAAGTGTAATTCTGCTTAAGTAGTTCCCCTGGAAAGTGGTGAAAAGTTTTGGGAGGCAAAAGTGAGCCGTTTTGACAGAGGCATAATACAAACCATAAAGAAGAGCTGAGTTTCAGTTGTGCTACTGAGATGGGTAGAAAATGTGTCAAAGACCTGAGGATACTTTTGCTCTTGTTATGTACCTTCCTTATGCTATCAAAGAAAGAGAACATAAACAACAAAAAAAGGTAACATCAGAGGTAGATGCCACATGACACTCAATCAAGAGGCAGTGCCAAGTATAACTGGCCTCCACGTTCAGGAGACATTCAGTTGTATGGGGCATTCTGCATCCATTAGCTTGTTGGGGCAAAAATGTGGCATCTCACCTTGATCTTCGTGAACAGCCTGATGTAAATGTTACAGAGCCTCAGCATCCAGAATTGCACTTACGGATGTTTCTCAGTCATTTTATTTGGGCCACTACTTCTCATCCACAAATTACAATTCCCACTCTCTAATTAGACTTCCAAGATTCATAGCTATCTCTGGGCTTCAGGCAACTCCGGTTCTGCTCAACAAAGTAGACACATATGAAAGAACAGGTAACCAAAAGGGCAGATAAGTATGGGGAGAGCAGCTCATCTGGAACATTTATGATTTAAGGTGTGGACAAGGGGAGCGGCCTTAAAGACCCTGAGTCTAAACTGAACGTACATAACAACAAAGGGTTGCTGATTTTGCCTCCTTTCATTTAAACATTTCTAGAGATAAGCTTGGAAATTGCATCATCCAGGTTGGCTTTTTTTGTCCAGGTCTCCATCCCTTTGTTCTTTCCTTGTGTGATGGGTTGAGTGACAGAATAAATGTCAAGTGAATTGCAAAATCTAATTTGGTATATTGCATGCTGTACATGTGTTGTTTTTATACTTGGGCAAAGGTATAAACAAAGGAAAACATCGGAGAGCGTATCAGTGATTTGGTGTCCTCTGCACACAGTATAACAAGTGCTAATTAACTCTTATTTAAGACTCGAGATACCTTATTCCTAATCAGGAATAGCAATTCTGCTTTAAATTAATATTCTATTTTTATTCAGAGTAATTGGCTCTAATGGATAGAGCTGGAAATTTGTAGTAGCGGGCTATTTAATTTGCTTAATTTTACCTGCTTTTAGTCACCATTCATCATACAACGGCTTAATCCTATGCAGTATTGTAAATTATTTGCAGATATCTTCTCCATGTTCATGTTGGCTTTAGGGTCATTTGAAGTGGCTAACAACTCAAGGCCACACCATTTGAAGTGGCCATTTAAATGCATGATTTAATATACATTTGTACATGATACTGTTACTTATGTAAATATCCATGCAACAGAGTAAGTTGGAAAATCTACAATCAAATGTATATTTTAAAAATTTTCAGAGATTTCTTGTTCAAGACTAGTATGTGCATCTATTTATACTTATTCAGTATGTATGCAGTAGTACTCAAGCTTTCCAATGTTTGCAGAAAGCAAACAGGGAAGGTGTGTGACCACAGTCAAACTGACAGTCTCTTCAAAATGGTAATGAATATAGATTTTTTTCTATATTCCCATTCCAGTATCATATCAGCCACAAACTTGAACAGCTGGGTATGTGCCCCCAGAGCCGTCCAAGAAATAAATGTGGAAAAGATTAAATAGGCCTTAAAGTCCATCTCTCTGAGGATGCCGTTTCATGTTCTGCAATACGCAGTACAATGTCCAGAACAGTAAGAAGCTGCTTTCTCTTTAAAGAATATTACACAAAAGAGCATCATCACAGTATAAAATTTCACACAGACAATAAATATTTCCTGACAGAAACCCTATGTTTTCCTCATTCTATCTTTATCCTATTGCTCCCTCTCATCTCTTTCAATGTCTCTGTTTCTCTCTTGGTGCTTACTCTTTCCATAGGCTTAAAGACATTTGCCATGTCTTGATCTTCCTCCCAGTTATCTCCCAGCAAATGCAGCAGTGGTGGTTGCTGGCATGGCTGCGATGGTCATTCACAAAAGAGGGAGGGCTACCAAACGTCTGCCACTCCAGTACTCCTCTAGGCTGGGGACAGATCCTCTTTCAGCTTCATTGTCCCCCTTCTCCCACAAGTCATCCCCTTGGCTTTCAAAGGTCATCTCTTATTGCTTCTGTGATCGAAGGCTGGCACAGTAGTATGCAGTGTCAGGCTGCCAAAAATAAATCAAATTGGCTCCTAGCCAGTGTCATCGGTTGGCTGGTTGCCATGGTGTGCTTGGCTGCTACTACCATGAGGCGTGCCGACCGCGCTACTTTTGTGTGGTGATGTTCATCTGCCTTGAATTTTACTACAATGGCTGTGTCGTGCTATCTGTAGTTATCTTCCTGGTGCAAACACAAGCAAAAAGCAAGGGCATTTCATTTATATCCAGAAGAGATTCTTGCCTTTGTCTAAGGTCAGGACAAAAAAAAGACAGGAAGAGGGGGAAGGAATAACTATGAGATAAAGAGAAGTGCATGATTTTTAGTGCTTAATATTTAATGTTTCTGGAGTAGGGGAGAGGCTGGGGGATTCTTCATACCAGTTGCTAATTGCCCTGCCAGCCCTCAGCTCTCCTCGTGATTCAGTTCCACATACTCTACCTGTCTGTTGGTAATGGCTTAGGAAATGACTCCAAACAACTGTCCCATATTCACTGTTAGTCGATCTGGAACCCCAGGCACTCCCAGTTGTACAGGGGGCCAGTTTCTAAGCAGTCCTCAATGTATCAAAAAATAGGTGGAAAAACTAGATGGATTCTATTCTAGGTAAGACATGAAATGAGTCAGTGGGCTTTGTTCAGTAGCATGAGGGATTGATGTAAGAAGGACAATCTCTAGTTCTCTTCACATCTTTTCCTGGGTGACTTCCATGCCAAGAAAGTGCTCTCTTATCTGAGCATCCTTGCCAAGATTTATATTTATACGCTTTCTTGTTATGATCCAACTTTTGGCTCTTTCATGTTGGTATTATGCTTAGAGAGGCTCCCTTAGATGCCAACCTACTCAACAGGACAAAATTCGAAAGTGGTAGGAGGGAATTTATACATTACATATGGATGAGAAGGTGAAATTTATTCTAATCTAAGTTGCATTGACTTAAATCCGGAGAGTCTCTATCAAAGTTACTGGAAAGAACCTACATTAGTGCAGCTTTGAAGTGAGATCAGCATCCAGCACAGCAGACTGTAGAAGACAACGGGCTATATGGGGTGGAGAGGAGGTGAATGTCACACAGTGTTAGATTCTCTTTGTACTTTCCCAGGTTTTCAAGTCTCACCTCCAAATTTGGCTAGCTCTCACATCAAAAGCACTCTCAGATTGTTAGGTAAGAATACAACAAAGCCCAGAAAAGTGAAAGAGTAAATTGTGCCTAAGGAAACAAATGGGTCTTCTTTTGTTGGGAAATGAAGAATACTTTCTCTTTCTTGATGAAATAGCTTTACAATGGAGCAGTTTCACAGCTGAAGTGAAGAATCAGCCAGATTACAGTTGCTTTGCATGTACGCGGCCCAGCAGTTCCCCCAGGGCCCTGTATCCTGCAAGCAAGGAGCGCTGGGAGGCACCATCTTCACTTCCTCAAAGGGAGCAAGTCCCTATGGATCATTTTCCATGGTTTAGAGTTGAATCAGTTCTTTGTTTTCACTTCAATCAGCATATTGATAAAAGGACAATCCTTGCTGCACCTAGGGAGCATTGGCTGTATAAAGATTTGGAAAGGGAGACCATCTATTGTCGTGTGCCAGCTAGAAGGTACAGCCTGTGCTATGCAAGAGGATTGCAATTGTATAACTGGAATTCTAGTCTT